CCATATACTTCATTCAGCACTTAAGTCTCAAATAAATAAAATCTTAAAAAAAAAGTTTCAAGGGTTCTCAAATTAACTGTCTTTTAAATGGCTAAGCAAAATACATATTAGTTACTCCTGTCTTCACCAAACTCCACAGGAAGTACGAGGAGAGCTTCACATCCATTCTTTTGTTACTGAATGCACTAACTATTGACCTTCGCTGGCTTGGGGTTTTGCACACAATAAACATTTCTTGAGTGATTGAGCTATGCTCATGGAAGACCATATCTACCTTCTTTTCTTGCCTTTCTTCTATGATCCATCCTTTTGCTTATCTTTCCAGGGCTTAACTTAGAAGGGGTCTGGGAACTTGGATGAGAAAATACTATATCTTGATTTTTCACACAACTAACCGAAATGTAACATTCCCTCCAGTTACAAAGGTAACAAACCACTGCGGTATTAACGGTCCCTGAGGTTTTTTTATTTTTATTTTTATTTTTATTTGACAGAGAGAGACACAGCGAGAGAGGGAACACAAGCAGGGGGAGTGGGAGAGGGAGAAGCAGGCCCCCCACAGAGCGGGGAGCCTGACGCGGGGCTCAATCCCAGGACCCCGGGATCATGACCCGAGCCGAAGGCAGACGCTTAACGACTGAGCCACCCAGGTGCCCCAGTCCCTGAGGTTTTGTCACCAACTGAAATCACAGGTATTTTTATGTCACATTACAGTTATTGAAAAGAGTTCAAAATGCCATTTATGCTCATCAGTACTTCCAAATGACTGTAGTTAGACTTATTGCTAGATCTTGCCATTTGTTGCAATAAACAAACATATATATTTTCTATTTTGATAACTGTATTCAGTGCAACTGGGTTCCTTTAGAGTCCTATGTATTTTATGTCTTTAAAAACATCTCGAGAAGAGGTCCGTAGTTTCACTAGCCAGACAAAGGGGTCCACAGCACACAAAGGTCAAGACTCCTTGGTTACACAATGCCTTCTGGTTCCTTGATTTTTTTTTTTTTTTGGTCCTTGTCCAGTGGAGGCGAGGACCAGCTGATCAGAGCAATTGGGAGAAAGGAGTGAATTGAAGCCTTAAAGTTTTCAGAAAAAGGCTCTGATGGTGCAAAGTGAGATGCTGCTCACTAGTGGCTGGAAGTCAGAACTGCGAGATTGAATATAAAACACGCCTTTAAGAGGTGTGGGGTGCTGATTCTTGGTACTTGGGTCTGAAATAAGAGAAACATTGAAGGTATAGATTGCGCTGGGCAGCATAGACATTTTAACAATGTTTATTCTTCCGATCCATGAGCATGGAATGTTTTTCCATCTTTTTGTGTCTTCAATTTCTTTCATGAGTGTTCTGTAGTTCCTAGAGTATAGATCCTTTACCTCTTTGGTTAGGTTTATTCCGAGGTATCTTATGGTTTTTGCTGCTATCGTAAATGGAATAGTTTCTCTAATTTTTCTTTCTACAGTTGCATTGTTAGCGTATAAGAAAGCAACTGATTTCTGTGCATTGCTTTTGTATCCTGCTACATTCCTGAATTGCTGATGAGTTCTAGTAATTTGGGGGTGGAGTCTTTTGGGTTTTCCACATAAAGTATCATGTCATCTGCGAAAAGAGACAGTTTGCCTTCTTCTTTGCCACAGAGGCAGTGGGCAGTTTTACCCCTGCCCACATATCACTATCGGATTCCTCGTTCTCCGCTCCAGCCATCTTCGCTGTCATTCAGTGACTCAGAAGCTTCCTCCCACTTAAGGAATTTACACACGCTGTTACCTCTCCTGCACCACCTCTCCCAGCTCTTCATCCAGCTAACGGTGCTCTCCCTCCTTAACCTCAGTCTGTCTGCCCCTGAACTGCCAGGCTAGGTCAGCCTCCTTGCTAATCCTCATGCAGACCCATGCTCATGTCCTTCACAGCCCTTTCTCAGTTTGTAACGACATGGTCCGCCCCCCCCCAATTTTTTTTTCCATGTTTGTCATTGAACTGGACAGTAAAGCCCGCGAGGCAGGGGCTGCCTGCTTTCCTTCTCTGTAGTAACCTCAGTGTCTGCCCAAGGATACTTGTGCACTGAGGAAGAGTACATTTCAGTTGGAAAATTCATAAAGGGACTGTAAATGCTAGCAGAACGGATTTCGGTACATCAACAGTCAAGTCAGATGGCCTTCCTCCACCTATGACACTCTGGCTATACCACCAAGGCCCCTCTGTGTTCCAAGTACATGGAGACTTCAGGCCCAGTGCAGGAGACACAGTATAGCAAAACTGACAGGCTAGAGGTCAGATCCTGGCCTCGATGCTTCCTTCCGGGGTGATCTCAGTATCTCCGGGCCTCAGTTTGCCCATCTGTAAAATAGTGAAAATACTAGTACCTAGGACATAGAAGGGTTAAGAATGCTAATGAGGGAAGGTAGGTACAGTACCGAGCACATAATAAGAACTGACCAAATGGTGACGCAAAGGAAAGCCAGCTGAGCCTGAGGGATGGCCCACTCTTGCTCCCCTCTTGAGAGGCATGGGATTTAGAAACCAAAGGAGCTTTGCAACAGGGTGGGGCCTGGCTCTGTCTTGGTTGGGATGTTCCGGAGAGGCAGAGGATTCTTCCTTGCAGCTTGGCTGGGATCCCCGGCTATGTGTCCATTTCTCCACCTGCTTCACGCGGCATCTCTGTGCACGTGTGTGTGCTGGACTTGCTGTCCTTGAACAGTGGTTGAAGTTGTGATTTCTTTCCGATCTTTTTACCCCCTCCCGTTCCCGCCTAACTCTTGCTCCAGAGAAGAAGAACCGAGTTCATTCACTCTGGCTAAAGATGGAGTTGTAACACTGGAAGCCGTCTCGGCACAAAATTTCACAGAATATATTAGTGAATATATTCGGTAAGTAATATATTCAGCTCAATAAATATCAGTTGTGGTGATTTCCCTATTAGAAAATAGCGGACTGTCCCCAGCGCCAGTCTAGTCCGCCCCCCTAACTTCTATAACATCTGCTAAGCACCTGGCACTTCGAGGCTTTCGGGAGAGATTGGATGAAAGAGCAGAGAGGAGGCTGAAGGCGGCGGCTTTTCCCTAGCTAGGCTGCATCGCCTTTGACTACCCTCAGTTCTGCACAGTGGCCAGTAGAGGGCAGGAGCAGTTAAGACAACAATACTCAGGACCCGCCAGCCACAGAATTCCTGGCTTGAGGAGGGAGGATGGCGGAGGGAGAAAAATGTTAACAACGACTGAAAAAACCCAATTGTTCTTTATCTCCTGGGGACCAAATGGAAGGAAATGTGTAGCTAGTGGGATGGAAGTTAGACTTCTGGAAGAACTTCCAGAACACAAAGTTTGCTAACTAGAACTTTTTTTTATACAGGTGATTTTTTTTTTTTAACCACCTAGCTACAACTGCACAAGCAGAGAAGATGAGAAAGGGAGCTCGTCCAGTCCAAGGCCTATGTGACCCACTAGGTCCCCTTAAAGTAACCCTTCTGAGTGTGCCTTAAATGACTCCATTCTTTGAGATGCAATCATAAAATAACTTTATTGGTCAGGTTAGCCACCACTCATGCTTTTCCTGTAATAAGGATCCTTTATAGAGGCATGATGGTGTTCACATGCAGACGCTTCCTGAAGAGCCTGGGGCAGGGGCAGCCTTGCCCCCCCACATCAGAGCTCCTTTGTTGAAATGAGCTGGTTTGGCTTTTGTGGATTTTTGAGTCTGGAGCCAAGCACATAGTCCAGGGATCCTCCCCTCCGCTTCCCAGCAAAGCGTACCCAGTATCAGGGATGTGATGGCATCTGAGCAGGGGCCAGGCTAGGGCTAGCTGTCCTCAGGCAGTCCCTGTCCCTGACTGCCCAGATGGCTCCATCCCAATGGTGCCAAAGGGGCGGGATGGTGAGGCCCCAGGCATCATTACCTTTCAGACATGGGAAGAAGGAATTGCTCTCCAGCCAAGCTATAAAGCAAAAGGCATCTTCAGTAATGAGGGTGTAGCTCAGAGATGTGAAAGCAGAGGGTTTCATCCTTGGCACAGGCCAGATTTGGCTGCCTGGCACAGGCTCCGCAGACCCAACAAGCATCTCCAGCCAGAGTTTTCACTATGCACTGTGGCCTCAGGACAAATCAATTAACACAGCTGAACCACAGCGTCCTCTTTTGGGCTAGCCAGGCACGTCCAGGGCTGGCCGGAGTCTGCTTCTCCCATCAGGATGTCGACCTTTCTGCTTGGATAAAGGGAGAGGACACACTACCTTTCTCATGCTTTCAGAACCATGTGCCATGGAGGATAAAGACCCGAGTAAGGAGCGGCTGGGAACACAGAGGGTGTTGGGCAAGGGTGGAACTCGGGGGCCTGCTTCCTCAATTCAACCGAATCGGGACGTTTGCCCCTATGAGGGATGCTAATGTAAGCAAGATCTGGCCTTTCCTGGGCAGAAGTCTGATCCACCTTCAAAGCACTGCCCAGCTGCTAAAATACAACCCCTCCATTTACGAAAGCCTCAGGTTGGCTGTCTCCTCCCATATCAGTCCCTGAATATTGTGATCATGCTGGTGCCCTCCAATCTGGTGGCTTTCAAGGAGTGAGGTTAGGGAGGTGTAGAGGTGACTCTTGGTTTCCTTCCCCCCCCCAGACACTAGTGTGACTTCTCCGCAGAGGCCACGGGGCTGATGCCCAAACGCCTTGGGCTCTCATGCCTCTGCCCAAGGCACAGAAGAGGTGTGTGTGCAGCAAGGCTGAGTGGATGAGGAGGGTGAAGGAGGAGGCAGTTGGGCAAGAGGTATATTCCGAGGAGCACTGAGAGGGAGCCCAGAGTAATTGCACCACCCGCCTGGCACGCAGGAGAGCGGTCAAGCGCTGCTCACGGAGAGAGCCAGGGATTGTGGGGAAAGCACGCTCCGTGCGTCTGTGCGGTTGCCCAAGCGACTTGTTGAAGTTCATGACGCCAGATCATTGGGAAGAACCTGGGGGTAGTGAGGGGTCTGGGGTTGGGACTTCCAGGGATTACTTCCTCTGCTACCACGTCTGTCCTGGAAAGAGAGCTGCAGCCATGTCCCTCAGTAAAAGGCTGCCTGTCCCCTGATCCCACCTGACCCTGCCTACATGGAAGAAGACTACAGAGGGAGCCCATGGAGTTCTGTCACATGGTCTGTCCCAGACCTTCCAGCAAAAGCCAAACCAAACCATCAAGCCAGATGCAGTGGGGCGTGGGGGCCTTCGGCCCCGTGCCCCGTGCAAGGGCCACTCAGATTTCGATGAGGCTGGCGAGGCGCAGGCAGAGGGGCGCGTCCACCGGCATTGCGCTGCGCTTAATCTCGTTCCCGTCCAGGCGAAGCACCTGCAGCTTGGAGAAGTTCATGACGTCCACCACGGTGCAGAAGCTGCTGATGGAGAACTCTGTGGGGACAAGAGGGGCGGGGTGGGTGGGAGAAGCCCGGATCAGGGGCCCGGATCCACAGGGAAGCCGGTCGGCCTCTGTGAAGCGGCTTCAACGCTTCTGAGGCGAGGAGTGGGACTTGGCTGGGTGGGGCGGTGTCTTCCCGGATCGGAGTCATAGCGACTGGCCCCGCTAGGGGGCAGCACCAGGACCGGGGTGGGGTCTCTGCCCGCGTCGGCGGCTCCGCTTCCTAACCACCCCTAAGCTGCACAGTGCTCTGCAGTCCCTGGAATGTCCTTGAGCGTCCTTCCCGCCGAGACCTGATCTTTTCCCATTTGTGGACAGCAGGGGGAAGCAGAAGGTAGTCAAAGACCAACCTTGGCAGCTTCGAAGGACTTTGCTGAAGGGCTCTGAGAAGGAAGACTGGGGAAATGGATGGACCTAAATCTGGAATATCTCCTGACACTTTGCAGATAGACAGAGGGGGCAGGAAATTAGAGAAATCCTGGGCAGGGAGACAAGTGTCCTTGCGTGCGGGAGCTTTGAGGGGGTGCGTGTCTCCATTCCCAGCACCGCCAAAGGAATGAGCAAGGCCCCGAGGTTCAAGAAGGCGGAAATTCATAGATGAATAGGGCTGTCGTGGACCTCAAAAGTCAAATAAATAATTCCCTTGCCTCCTGCATTTAATATGATATGGTTTACCCCCCTTTTTTTAATCTCAAAAGAAGTCTCCTTTTTGAAGATATTCCCCTCTGCCCCAAACCACATAATCTTAATAGATACAATAGTTCTGTTTGGGTTTAACATAAATCCCTCTGTTTTCCCTCTAGTTGTCTTCTTGGACATATTGGCCACATCTGTCTCAAGTCTCCTGGGTTAGGGACTTGAAGGGAAAACACCAAGAACTCAGCACAACTCCAGGAGAGCCAGCACAAGTCACCGTGAAGAGCTGCCTTCCACGCGGTGCCTGAGGGCCTCTGGAAGCTGGCTCCTGCCAGAGGGGCTCCCAGAGAAGTTACCTGTTGGATCTCGGTGGGATACATCTCCAGGGCTGTCGCTAACATGGGGCAGCCCCAGAGCTTACCTTTGCTTCCACCAGAGAGGTTGCTCAGCTTGCCAGTGTGGTCGGGAGGCATGGGAGGAGTCAGAGGAGGATGGCCTCATGGAGGGGGCGGTCATGGGTGTGAAAGGGAAGGCTGTGAGGACAGTGTGGGGGGCTTAAATAGGCTGGCGAAGAAAGTGCTTTTCAATTAGCACTAACAACTGGTTTCAGTCCCTCTTAAGAACTGACCAAGAGGGCGCCTGGGTGGCTCAGTTGGTTAAGCGACTGCCTTTGGCTCAGGTCATGATCCTGGAGTCCCAGGATCGAGTCCCGCGTCGGGCTCCTTGCTCAGCGGGGAGTCTGCTTCTCTCTCTGACCCTCTTCCCTCTCGTGCTCTCTATCTCTCATTCTCTCTCTCTCTCTCTCTCTCAAAAAAATAAAATCTTCAAAAAAAAAAAAAAAAAGAACTGACCAAGAGGAGATGGGGCGAGGCTACCGCCCATTAACTTGTATTGCAAACATAAGACAGAAAATCCAGCTCCGAAGAATAATGGGACACTGGACTGGGAAGAGGGGAGAAGATGGGAAATGCCCTTCTGTGGACAGCATTCAGTGGCAGGGTGGGGGAGTATGAGGAGGGGAGTGGGTGGGGATGGGAGCGGGGTGGGGAAGATGGAGATCTTTTGGATACTTCTGGATGTCTCCTTTCTGGTCTCAGGAAGTAGATTAAGTGGCCTCTGAGTGGGCAGGTTCGGGGCAGAGCTTAGGCCAGGGGCTGCGCCTGTGGTAGCCATGGAGGAGGGTAGAGTGGGGTGGGCTGGGGAGAAGTCAGTTGGATTGGCTTATAGATCACTTCCAAATCTACTGCACTAGATGGATTCTCTACCCCAGCCTTGGGCCCTCAGGCCATCCGCTAAAATCCTGGATCCCTGCGCATGTATGTGAATATGGGGGATACTTAGGGGCTGCTAGACACACCCCGTATATCGATTCCATCCACACAGCAGATGCACTGTGCCCCTCTGTTTGCCTTCCCCACGCTCATGAAGAGGACAGGGCTTTTGCTTGGAGACTCTGGAGGACATTTTCCAGCCCAGATTAAATACTGACATAAGTCTTTCCAAATTCCTCCTGGGGTACCCACCCTGCTCCCTTGGATCTCACAGCTACTGAATAACATTCCGAGCTGTGTTCCCTTGCTGTTGCCAGGCTGGAAAATCTGAGGGAGATGCTAATAGAAGAGGCAAGGGGGAGGGAGGGGACTGGCTTGATTCCCTTGCACACCCTTTAGTTCCTGCCCTCCATTTAGCTCCTCCCCAGAGGACTGCTTCAGTCCCACCTCCACCACCACCCCCACTGGCTATGGGAGGACACCCTAGGAGAGGGGCCCGAGCTTGGGGCACTGTCCTTCCTGCCCGTGGTCTGAATCAGAGAGCTATTCCTCACGTTCTCAGCCAGAGACGCCGGGAGCCAGGTCCTTGGATGTTGAAGGCTGGCCTTCAGGGTTTTACCTACATAGCCTGGGTGGCCTGGAGAGATAGATGGCTGCTTCTTCTCAGTGCCCCCGTCTTCACAATGCAAAAAGTCAAACAAAACAGTACTCTGCCTGTCAACTCCCAAGTGGCAAGGAGAAGAGAAGCTAGTCATTGTTATTGTGTATTGCTTCTCAGTTATGTGCCAGGCCCCAGACCAAGCACCTCCCGTGTCTTGATTCGCTAATTTAAGACAAAGTAAATGTAGGAACTGGGGTTATTTTGCCTCAGAAGAAGACTGGCAGAGAGACTAAATGATAACTGGATCAGGGGATTTGGCTTAAATGGCACAAGAAGGGACTTGGGGGAGACACTGAACATTTTTAGGTTGTTTGGCTTACTGGAGAACTTTCTCTCAAGACCTTGGGACACTTAACTGAAGTGGTTTTATCTTCCGCAGAGCCTTGCGAAGGGGCGGGCCACCCTGTATTTGAGTGGCAGACGTGCTCCGCATGGAGGCAGGGGGTGACAGGAGCCCTTCCCACCCCGACTTTCTCTGACTGTGTATCATCAGGCAGTAACCAATGGGTTCTCTCCCACGACAGCTATTCTTTGCTGTCACATCTTCAGGAGCAAACACGGCACATAATGTGACATTTCTGATGTGACAGCCCCCCGGGTTCAGAGTAGGGTGGCAGGTGACTTCTGGGTGGGATAATGGACAGCCACAAGTAAATGTCAACCCCTTTGCAGCCTGCGACATCTCAGAGACATCTCAGAGCTGTGGCCCACTTGGGAATAAGACCTCCCCGCACCCCAGAAAAGAGAGACTTTACATATAAAACAGTTTGGGTGCCCATGATGGTGTCTTGCACTTCGAACCAGAGGACCAGACACCTCCTTACCTCGCCCGCCCTGCTGTCGACCTCTGGGACAGGGTGCCTCTCTTCCTCAGAGGGCTCTCCAGCCCGTTTATGTCTTGCTAAATGACTGATCTGTTCCCTGAGCACCGGGAGGGAAAGAACAGAGTGGGAGGGAATGAAGGCTCAGTCCCTATCTGTGCTTTGATGGTGTGGTTTGCTCACAGCAGGCTCCACTTCAAAGCCCTTTGCCAGGTAGTGAGTCCTTTCCCAGGGAAAGGGGGACTTTGCTGACCGAGGAAGGCTCAGTACCTTCCAGCTGGGATTCCAACATCAGAGGCCCTGGGGTAATGTAAGCACGTTCTGAACACAAGATCCTGACATGGAGCTGAAAAGCAACTAGATCATTCCACCCAAATTGAGTATTTTAGTTCTAAGAGGCAGAGAGGCAGCCCTTTTGATTCCTTTAGGCATTTACCGGGAAGTGCTTGGAAAACAAGAGGGCTGTGTCCTTGCCCGCTGCCCCAGGGCTTTGTGGTGATAGGGCCCCTGTCACCCTAGGGGGACCTCTGCCCCACCACCAGGGGCTCCTTGTACTCCAGGGAGAACGGACCAGAACAAGTACCTCATTCAGCTCCGAGAGGCTGCACATTCTTATCCAACAGCTGTTATGTTTAAAAGACAAACAGCCAAACACATGGCCGGCTGCAAAGGCAGGGGTAGGGCATGTGGAAACAGAGAGCTCATCCTCTTCTGGGTCAGTGAGTAAGAACGAACACCATGGTTTCTTAACAGTCCACCTTCCTCCCAAGATGGACCCTGGAAGTTCAGCTTAAATCCCCCTCTCTAGGAACTGCTCTCATCCAAACCTCCGCAAACTCATCTCTCCTTGCTCCTCAACACGTGAGCCCTTCCTCTCAGACACACAGATTTCCTGGCTGTCCCCTACAGGTGACCCATTAAATGACTGGTCCTTCTGCGGCACTCCCATCCCAGAATGGCTTTGTCCCTTGCCTCCAGCCCGAGCTCACTTAGCTCTCAAGACTTAGATGGAAGCTTACCTCTTCTGGGAAGTCTTCTTCCAAGCCAACACCCCCCCCACCCCCGAATTTTCCCAGCACTGCTGTTTAGTCTAGGGGCATGCCGTTTTGGACCTCTTGGACAGGGGTGGAACGTGGGTTGAAGGTGGCTTCATTTGTGCTCTCCGTTTCCCCTACTTCTATGTCCTTTGCATTGCTGCTAGCACTCACAAGAGGGTGTTTTCCAATGAAACAGCCAGCCACTCCCCACTCCCCTTTGTCAGTCTCACCATTGATCCTATTGCCTTGGAGGTAGAGATTCTCCAGGTTGGTGTTGACTGGGGGGATCTTCTGCAGCTGGTTGTAGGAGAGGTCAAGCTCAAGGAGGCTGCTGGAGTTGAAGGTGTTGGAGGCCAAGCCATTGTTGGTGAGACTGTTGTGGGACAGCCGCACGTATAGCAGCTTGGGTGACCCCCGGAAGTAGCTGTCGGGGACGGAGTAGACATTGTTGTGCTCCAGGTACAGCTGCTCGAGGGCTATGGGCAGTCCATCAGGCACCTTCCGCAGGTGGTTGTAACTCAGGTCCAGCAAGATCAGTGACCGGAGGCCCCTCATCGCACTGCCCACTTCCTGGATCTCGTTGTGCTGGAGGTACAAGGCTGTGAGGTTCTCCAGCCCCTCCAGAGCGTTGTTGGGGACCTTCGATATCTGGTTGTGGTCGAGATGGAGCTCCCTCAGGGATCGAGGCAGCGGGCCGGGCATCCGGGTCAGGTTGTTGTGGTCCAGGTATAGCCTCTCCAGGTGCTTCAGCTTGGAGAAGATCTTCCTGCCCACCTTATCACTGGTGATCTGGTTGCCATGGAGAGCAATCCAGAGCAGCCCGGTGGCATTGTCGAAGACGCCTTCCTGGATGGACGAGATCTGGTTGTTCTGGAAGTAGACGTACTTCATGCGGGAAGGGACAAAGGGCAGATACTTGAGGTTGCGGTTGTCACAGTACATGGCTGTGGGGAAGTTGGGTGGGCAGTCGCACTCCTGAGGGCAGTCACGGGGCTCTGGAGGGGGCGGAGAGCCATAGGCATAGGCTGGGCCCTCCTCCACCCCATAGGGGTAGGGCTCGTAGGGCTCATACGGATAGGGGTCATAGGGATCGTAGTAGGTGGACTGCTGGCTGCGGAGGTAGTGGAACCACCAGTGGGGATCTTCGTCGTACTGGGCCCAGGAGAGGGAGCAGAGCCCGGCCAGCAGCAGGAGGGAGGCCCACTGCATTTTGTTTCTCTGCAAGACGGGGGAGAGAACAGAGCAAGCAGGCATGAGTGAGACAGCAGGGAGGCAGGGAGGCGAGCCTTGAGCTGTGAGTGATCAGATCTGACTTGGGCAGCAGGCCCCTGGGACTGGGAGCCCCGTCCTCACTTCCCACACACCTCCCCCCAGGGCCGGCTCCGCACACCTGGTCCATCTGGACCATGGCTACCTGGGGGAGCTGGGTACATTTTACCCTGCTCACAGAGTCACAGAAGCAGAGCCTTCGAGATTAGAAGGAACTTGAATGGGGGGCACTGCATTTTTTTTTTCAAGGGGCACGTCCTTAGGAGCCTCTAGCCACCTGAAAGTTCTGTTGGGAGAGCTGGAAAGCCCCAGCAGTCATCCCTGGGCGGGAGGGTGCTCTTCAGGCCTGAATTCCCATTCAGTTTGGACTCCCCGGGGATATAATATTTTCCAAGAGTCCAAGGAAAAAGCCCTCTGGTTCTTTCCCCGTCTCTGGGAAACCTTCAGAAGCATCTTGAGACCTCAAAGGGGGAAGATCTGAACTACTCCTGGAAGATCTTTTGGTCTCTTGGGTGGGGGTTTCTGGTTTCTAGTGTTTGGGGAGGGTTGTGGTCCGTCTGCAGTCACCACAAGGCTCGGGCTGCCTTCCAAAGTGTCAGTGTCTGTAGCAGTCTGCTGGGTGAGAACGCTCTCTGGTTGGCAGTCTGTGGCTACGCACGCTACCTGGCTGACACGGCGTCTTCATGTAACAGCGACAGTCCCCCCCAGACTGGGGACCCTGGCACCAGGTGTGGTGGTGTCTTCTAGGGTGGGTACTGAGTGTGTGGAGCCTGAGTCAGTGCACTTGGCTTCTGTGGTATCAAGTAGAGAGTTAGCCCCCCTCATGCTCCGCCATGGACATTATGCTAGAGCCTCAGGGTACAGAGAAATGAATGAGGAACACTGAGAAATGGAATAGGAGTTGAGGACACCTGTGTTATACCCAAGAGAATGTGGCTTTGGAATGGGATTCTGGCGTCCCCCTCTCCCATCCTGGGCTACCTGTGATGACATCTGGATTACCAGCCTCCATGATTAGCCCTCCCCTCCCCCCATAGCCAGGCAACCTGTTACCTTGAGCTCATATGTTAGTGAGATGAGAACAGGGCAGGCTTGGAGAGAAAGGTGGGTTTGGTGCATTCTGGGAGGGAAGCTGAAGGTATGGAAGATGAGGAAGCTTACTGGTCACCCTACTCTGAGTACCGATAGCCAACGCACTGGATAGCCCTTATGAGCAATGGGAACCTTCCAGAGGTGTGAGGGTCACCCTTGGACAGAGGAACCTTAGAAGCTTTCCCGGTCCCGGAAGGGTTGCTTATATCCCTCACATTGCTGTTGGGCCTCCTGGGGTTGGCAACTGGAGACAGGAGAAAGAAAGGAATCTAGGAGTCAGCATCAAATCCAATGATGGGAAAGAACCTGACTGTGACACTCAATCTGGTCACCTCTGCCACCGTTCCTCCCAGGCCCCAGACCTCTCTGTTTCCTGAAAGTGATTCCTGTCGGCCCCCTTATTCCATTAGCCTCTGGGTTGCAGAGGAGAGGCACCTGGCTCATCCTCAAACAGCCTCAGGCCTCAGACAAAGAACTCACAGTGTTTCTGAGAAGCCAACCCAACTGCCCACTGCCTGGGCACGCTGGCTGGGCCCTGGCTCCGGCCAGGAGAGCAGACGGATGGAGCGGCCCACTGCCAACAGCGCATTTTTCCATGCACAGCCCTGGGCTGCTGCAGGACCAAGGTAGATGTCCGGAGGCTGGCACAGTGAGCCTCTGTCTCCATTTCTCCTTCCAGACTGGGCATGTTGGCAGATGAGAGCCACCTTCCTCTTCAAGACCCAGCTTTCCAGGGGCTGTGCATCCTGCCCACTCGGGCCTCTCCTTAGGAGCCATGCCTGCTAAGAGGGCTGGGTGGGGAGCTTCTGCCTCTCCTCTGCTCCATCTCTTAGCAGTGCTGCTCCAGGGTCATATACTTTTAAATCCCTCTGCCCACCCTAACAGCAGAGACCTTCCTGGGCTCAGGGTTTCGTGAGGTGGAAAGTTTCTGGGATTGGCGCTCCCTGAGGTGTGGGGAGCTGACTCAGGAGTTAATGCTCTTCTCCCATTTCTCCACTCTAGAGAACAATCTTTCCCTCCAATCAGGGTTGAAGAGGTCAGACCAAAATTTGTCTCCTCTGCTGGATTGGACCCTCCTTCATGGCTCCCTGAACATTGTTGATTCTCAACACTTCTCTTTATTCTTTCCCTTTCACCCCAGCAACATACACACACACACACACACACACACACACACACACACACACACTCACACCCCCCCATCCTTCCCCTGTAACAGCACTCAGGTGCCATCATCTGCCTATAGGACAGACTGCAGGGCTGGGGTAGTGGGATTATGAGTACCAGCAGGACAGACCTGGCTTCTTTAGATACCTGGTCCTTCCCTTTTTCATGCCTGAGAAGGGGAGATGCCCCCCCGCCCAACAACCAGAAAGGAACTGTAGGACAGAGGCAACACGTTCCCTCTCCTCCCCGTTGCCCCTCTCCAGCATCCTGGGGTCATGGCCCGGATGGGAGAATGAGGAATGGCTGCCCCCTGTCAGCCCCTCTCCCCAAGCCCCAGCCCCTTCCTTTACTCCCGCTATGGAACTACAAGGGACAAAAACTGAAGTAAAATGACTAAACTTACCTCCAGCTGAACCTTTCAGAGAGTGACCACGTCCCTCTGTCTGGCGTCCTTGGGTTGGAGAACGTGTGAGAGAGAGAGAGAGAGACAGAGTGTCTACTGAGAGTGTGCAGGCCTATGCCAGGCCAGGGTCCCGCCCCCAAATTCCTAATCAAACATTGTGAAGAGAGCGACTGAGGAGGCTGGATCCTGGCTTTTTCGGCTCCAGGGGCGGAGCTCACACCCAACCAAGCAAAATCCTTCCGTCCGCCTGACTTTAGAAAAACCACCTTCTTTCCACTCACTTATCTTCCCTAAAGCACTGGCAGCTCTGAGTCTCTTTCTGCTGAATGAGTTAGTGGCGCCCTGGAAGGTATTGGTATAGTCTCTTACCAAGTGCCTGGCTTTCTCATTAAACCCACAAGGGCAGATGCAGGGCTGGGGAGGGCCAGGACTGGGGAAGAGGCCATCTTAACTCTTTCAGCAGCCCATGTGCCGCCCTCGAGAGCCAGGACTCCTCAGCCTTCTCACCTCCCCCTCCATGCAGGTGGTTAGACTAGTGCACGAGCGGGCGTGACACAGGGTAGCTGGTTCTGGTTCCACTTCTGTCCCTTAGCAGTGTAGACTCGCCGGGGCTGCAGGGTTGCTCTCCTCCATTGGAATTAATGGAAAAGAATGGGAGCTCACCTTTGTGGGTTGCTCACTGTGCGCTAGCATCACACACCTTCATTTAATCCCCTGGCAACCATTCAACTTTCTGTCTCTATGAACTTGACTACTCTAGAAACCTCACATAAGTGGAATCTACAACAGTTGTCTTTCTGTGACTGGCTTATTTCACTTAGCATCATGTTCTTAAAATTCATCTGTCGTAGCGTGTGGCAGAATTCCCTTCCTACAACATTCTCTTGTATGTGTAGACCACATTTTGTTTATCTGTTCATCCACTGATGGACATTTGGGTTGCTTTTGCCTCTCGGCTCTCGTAAGTAACGCTGCTATGAACGTGCATGCACAAATATCTTTTTGAGACCCTGCTCTTAATTAATTTGGATATACGCTCAGAAGTGGAATCATATGGTGACTCTATTTTTAATTTTTTAAACCACCATGCTATTTCCCAAAGTAGATGGGAATGCCAACAGGGCACAAAAGTTCAAGTTTGAAACACTCCTTGTTTTTTAAGAAATACCAATTGAGAAAGCTTCAGATTTGAATTTGAAGACTTTAGAGGTGTCGAGGCAGATGCAATTTTTGGTTGCTCCAATAGGTCTAAACTGTGTAGGCCATCAGAAAGATCCTTGTCAGGAACCCACTCTTCTCAGGGCTTATGAAGAGCTTTTTTTAAAAGAGTAGACATAATGAATGGGTATTTGCTGATCACCTGCTATAAACTAAGTGGTCTACTGATGTTATTTCACTTAATGATCACAGAAGGTATTTTGTGTTGAAAATAGAGGTGCAGAGATGTGGTGTGACTAGCTAGAAAGTGGTAAAACAAGGATTTGAACCTTGATCTGCATGATTCCAAAGCCCACAGGCTTTCCCACACCAAAAGGCCAGAGGACTGATGGAGTGGTAGGGGCGATGACCACCCTGCTGTCATGGTTGGGCTCCATTCATATGGAGCCCAACTAATTACAGTGGCCCAATCTTCTGGAATCCCAGGGGAGGGTAGCAGTGAGAGGGGGCTGGGATACAGGGCTTCTCTTTCCAAGTCCAGACATATTTCCTTTCGATTTAATAAATATGAGCCTCTACTCTGTGCCTGGAATGTTCTTAAATGTTGGGGACGCAAAGAAGGTTCTAATATAATGCCTGCTCAAAATAAAGCAGGAGGCTTTGCAGCAAACTCCAATTCCATGAGGGAGGCAGAGTGGCCTTAATGTGAAGATGGTTATCAATAATGCACAGGTAGCCTTCTCGTCATTTTGATTCCAGAAAGCAGTCACTTTTCAACAGAAGACACTGGTTTTGGTAACAGGGCCCAAGAGTTGCTTCTTAGATGGGCCGAGATAGCCAGGCACATCTGCCCACCGAGTACAGATGTTTATTATTATGTTTTCAATTGCAGCATGCTGAACAATACTGCATTTACTAACGGCGAAAGTCAGGGGAGCCAGGGGGCCAACCGTTGACTGGGATCCTTCCCAACCAAGCTCCGCACAAAAAGGCAGTATCTCCATGTGTTTTGTTGACCATTTCTAAAATGGTAAGATTTGTACCAGATCTTTCATTATCTATCCTGTTCCGAGGTAGGCTTGGGGGGAAGAAAGACGGGAGGATGACTGGGACAAGGTCAGGAGGCACATTCCAGGGGGACCATCCACAGTCCAGAAGCTCCACTGTCAATGGGCTCTAATCTCCACTTTGACTCCCATTGCTCTGTTTGCCTGGGTCCTGGATCTAGGCCCTCCGAGCTTGGCTTCGATATGGGAAACCAAGTAGGGGATACTGGTGTCCTCCAGATGGCCTAGGGAGTCCCCACGTGGAAGGGGTTCACTTGCGACCCTGGTGCTCTCCGGGAGGTGTCAAGCCGGCATTGCCCAGTCACCAGACTGCAAGCAAACTAAAAAGAGAAGCTATGTTACACATTTCTGTAGCCCCACCCCAGCCAGGCATACAATGCCTGGCACTTAGTAGGTAACCAGTAAAGAATTGTGGAATGAATTGTATTTTTGGCTCCCTACAGAGTCTGCCTGTCTTCAGTACCCAAAGCCGGGTAGAATAATCACCACCACCAAGGCCAGGAAAACCGTTTGGCCTTCAGGCCTATTTGACTTTCCAGGGGTTCAAGCCACTGCTATTTCCTCTCCACCCAGAAAAGTACAGGTTAAGCCACAACCACTAGGCACAGCTGATGGTCTCTGATGTTGGATCCACCCTGTCTGGAAGGGATGAAATGTGTTCTGATTCCAATTCCTACTGGAATTCAAAGACACAGTGACGTGTCGGTGGCCACCAACCCCTTCCTCTTTCTCCCCCATAGGACCCAATACCTTTTGTTTTTATAACACAGCCTCTGATCCCAAACAACCAGGGGATGGGGTGGGGGTGACGGGATAGGAGTGGAAATCCACCCAAACAGAATTAGTGAGCTGAACATAAAGAGGTCAGTAGAAAAATGATCGTGGTGATACAATCCAGCCTCCACTTCTGGCCCATCCTGACAACTCTTGATGCCAGAGGGGGATCATTTATTAGTCTGATGTTTCAACAGGAAAGTCTTGGCTACCCTGGCACCCAATAGTAGTGTCCCAAAGTTTCCAAGGGAGTTTTTTCTCCTTATTCCTTTGGCATTGAGGGGCCGTTTGAAGTCCTCACCGTAGATAGTCTCCTCTTTCCAGAAGGACGAGACAAAGATGATGGAGCTGGGGGAGAGACTTGTTTTCTTTCAAATGCAGTAGGAGGAAGACCTTGAGTTTGAAGTTCTGGGAAATGCATTGAGGGCTTCAGAATTTTCTTCTAATAAGCTCCTTAAAAATAAGATAGAGAACATCTTTTCTCTTTTAATGGATAGAATCTCTTATTTTGACTGTGTATTTACAGCATGCTTGGTACTACAACTTGATGATGACATGATGGATTCCAGAAGATCACCTTCTAGACGGTGTGAATGCACTTGAATTGAGAAATCAGGGTTGGTTCAGGGAAAGATACCGAAATGAGGAAGGAGCAAAGGAGATAACCCGAAATCTGAAGTCTGGAGGCCACTCAGTGTAGGGCATCCTTCTTTGTTTTGCAAAATAGCTAAGAACTAATGATGTTCCTGAGACTGTGCTGGAGGAGAGAAGTGATGTAAGATGGACCAGTTCCCAGGATTCTGGCACTAGTTATGATTAACTGGCTGTAGGTAAGACCAGAACTAGATATTAGTTCTAAAATACCAGCTACCATCTCTGAAATTCTTACCAAAACCCTAACAAATAAGTATTATCATACCTTATTTTTACAGATGAGGAAACGGAAATTTAGGAAGGCTATGAGTTTGTTCAAGATTGCATAGCAATTAAGTGGCGGAGCTGGGATTTTAAACTTGTCTGTCTGCGTCTAGAGACTGAGTTCCTGGCCACTATGCACATAGAATCTCCAGTGTAAAGGAATAAGCATGGGTTATGTATGTATGTTCTGATTCCATCTCAACCACTTATTGTCTCCATGACATTGGGCTAATTGCTTACGCATCAATGAGACTTCATTTGTAAAATGGGGGCAATAACCCTAACTTCATGAGATCTTGGGAAGACTCAATGAGATGAAAAATAGAGGATCCTGGTAGGGAACCTGTCATGTGGTGGTCCTCCAATAAGTGGCAGCCGCCTTTGGTTATTTTAGTAGATTGCAAGTTCCCTGGGGGGATGGGGAGCAATCTCATTAGTCGGCATAATGCTTGGCCAGGTGCCTGGCATTTATTAGGCCCTTTCTAAACATTGGTTGAATAAATGAAACGTGTAGAAGCTGGATTTTACTAAAGGGTAGTAAATCCACTTTAGTAACTTAAACCAATCAGAGAAAAGCTAGTTAAGGATAGAGGTGGGACTTTCAGTGCCTAGAATTTTTGCCTCTCCTCCCCCACCCTGCCAAGGAAGGACAAGAAAGGTGACTGCAAGGTCAGTGGAGAACACTCTACAGACAGGGAGAAATATCTCGGGGAGGGGGTCATGGAAAAGGTCAGGATCTAAGAGCCAAGTACAGAGCAGCCCAGGAGATGCCCTGGCTCCTTCTCAGACGGCGTTTAATGAGAGTCAGGGTTAGGGTGGAGAGAGGGTAGAACAAGAATACTACCTAACCAGTAGCACCATTCTGAATCCCTTTGGGCTGAGGAAAGAAATTGGCTCCTACCTGAGGATGGACAGGGCTAGTTCCTCAAAGCCAGAACTAGTGACATGGGCCCATGCAAAGGTCTAAGGACTTGGATCTAGTTCTTTTTTTTTTTTTTTAAGATTTTATTTATTTATTTGAGAGAGAGAGAGAAAATGAGAGACAGAGAGCATGAGAGGGAAGAGGGTCAGAGGGAGAAGCAGACTCCCTGCTGAGCAGGGAGCCCGATGTGGGACTCGATCCCGGGACTCCAGGATCATGACCTGAGCCGAAGGCAGTCG